GTAGCTGATGCAACAACCTTTTTCACTGACTTGCATCACGTACTTCGTGTCATAGCGGCAGGCAATATCAGGACTTTATGTCATCACCGTCTAAATCTTCTAGAACAAGTGAATGCCTTGCCCTGCTTTTGAAGTGCTTGCTAATTTTGTAATTTCTTATATTTGATCGTTAAAATACTTTTTGCCATTTTGTTGGTCATTCAGAAATTCAATCTTCATTTGATGCTTAATGCGGATAAAGAATTCCTGGCTCAGAAAAGTGCACCGCATAGGGACTTCTATAATGTAAGGAAAGTTGATACTCATGTCCATCACTCAGCGTGCATGAACCAGAAACATCTTTTGAGGTTTATAAAGTCGAAGTTGAGGAAGGAGCCAGATGAGGTGCGTTCCATTCTTGGTTATTTACTTTGGTGTGCTTTTATAGAGGGCCTTAAAATTGCTGTTCACCTTTTGCAACTGAATGCTTCCAAGTTAATGCATTACACTCGTGATGTAGACAATCTCCATTGCTAGGGAGTGGTTTATCCTCTACCAGCAATTTGTGATCCTTAGTAGAAGTGGTGCATGTGCCCCCCACCCCCCCCAAAAAAAAATTGTTCACTAGGTTCTGTTTTCAGGTTGTAATATTTCGAGATGGGACATATTTGACCTTGAAAGAAGTTTTTGAGAGCTTGGATTTAACTGGGTAATAAAATATTTTTACCTTCTGTTTATTTCTTTAAAAAAGGGAGTGAGAGATGATGCAACTAATTATAGTTCATTTTTTGCGTCTGTATGAGAAGGTATGATTTAAATGTGGATCTTCTTGATGTTCATGCTGACAAGAGTACCTTTCATCGGTTTGATAAATTTAACCTCAAGTATAATCCTTGCGGTCAAAGTAGGCTCAGGGAGATTTTCCTCAAGCAGGACAATCTTATCCAAGGTATATCCTTTATACTTCCTTGATTTTGGGGACAAAGAAATATTGTGTCAACTGCTGAGATAACATTAAAATAAACAATCAATTTATATAAATTTGTAATGGCTAGTGTTTCTTTGATGTTTGAAATATATAATAAGATTCAGTTATGGTGCTGGATCTAATATGTTACTGTGCTTCCAATCTTTTATTTGAATGTCATCTTCACATTCACACATTGTTATGCATTATAAGGTGCTCTTCCGATTCATTTTTTATTCCTTGTCTTTGCAATTTTTATTGATTAATTTCTTGGAAAGAATCTTTTCTTCTCAGTGCTTAAGTTGAAATACAGTCCGATTATTGTACCTCATGCAGGTCGATTCCTTGGCGAGGTGACAAAGCAAGTGTTCTCTGATCTCGCTGCAAGCAAATATCAGGTATTTCCCTTATTCCACACAAATTGATTGTATTGCTAAGATTAATGCTGCTCTGATTCCTGAGACTATGAGATAGAACTAGCACTCGAGTAAAACCGTCGTAAAACTGTCATACGGTGGATGAATCTTCTATAAATTTGCTGAATTCTATGAGGAGCTATATGTAATCGATGAACCAAATTATGGATTTCTAATGTTTGCTTTTATTGATATGCATCAGGATGCTTTCTCTCTTGTAACACGCCAAACTATGATACTGTATTTTACATTGTTTTGATATTCAATTTGATTGCCACAGATGGCTGAATACAGAATATCTATATATGGAAGGAAGCAAAGCGAGTGGGACCAAATGGCTAGTTGGATTGTTAACAATGAATTGTACAGTGGGAATGTTGTTTGGTTAATTCAGGTTCTAATGATCTACTTGAATTCTCTTGACCTAGCTACTAGCTTCTTTTGTGCCATATATCATGTGAATCAAATAAAATATGTCAGTGACATCAGAGGAAATTATTGAGTTTTGGTTGGACAATGTGACATTTTATCTTTCTTTTTTTTGCTTCAGATCCCTCGATTGTATAATGTTTACAAAGAGATGGGAATCGTTACCTCGTTTCAGAACATTCTCGACAACATCTTTATACCTCTATTTGAGGTTACTGTGGATCCAGATTCACATCCTCAGTTGCATGTTTTCTTGAAACAGGTCTTGTATCTTTTATTCTTAACTCTTCATCCCCCGGATTTGCAATGGTTTGGTGTAGATTGCATTGTGCCTCGGCTTGCATCGTTCGTGACGTCAACTGCTTCTTGTTGGCGATTCAGGTTGTAGGGCTGGATTTGGTAGACGATGAGAGTAAGCCTGAAAGACGCCCCACCAAACACATGCCAACACCAGATCAATGGACTAATGTATTTAACCCTGCATTCTCATACTATGCGTATTATTGCTATGCGAACCTTTACACCTTAAACAAGGTATGCATTATACAAATGGATATGTTTTCATCTTTACTAGATTTGAAGACCTTTGTTGTCTTTATATTTCCAAATTATCAGTGTCAACTACATTGTTATGTGGCATGATTTTTCCAGCTTCGTGAATCCAAGGGCATGACGACCATCAAATTCCGTCCACATTCCGGGGAGGTACTCAAGAAAGTTTTACATGCTACCTTCACACCTTATTTTTCGTGGTGTCATATTTATTGTATTTTCAGGCCGGTGACATCGACCACCTTGCGGCAACCTTTCTAACTGCTCATAATATTGCACATGGAATCAATTTAAGGAAATCACCTGTACTACAGTATCTTTATTATTTAGCACAGGTAAGAGCAGAAGGAAACTTGAAAATATATAAATATTTCAGTCAACCAATAAGCATGGAGTTTCTAATTATTGTCATGGATTGGCATATTGGTACCAGATTGGGTTGGCTATGTCTCCTCTGAGCAACAATTCCTTGTTTCTGGACTATCATCGGAATCCTTTTCCGGTGTTTTTCCTACGTGGTCTGAATGTTTCCTTATCTACGGATGATCCACTTCAGATACACTTAACAAAGGAACCTTTGGTTGAAGAGTACAGCATAGCTGCTTCTGTAATCTCTCTCCCTCTAATAAGCAAGAATATCTACTCTTTTTTTTTTGTCTAATATTCAAATGAGTTAAAGCCTACAAATCGCAGGTGTGGAAGCTGAGTTCATGTGATCTCTGTGAGATTGCCCGTAATTCGGTCTACCAGTCAGGTTTTTCACATGCTTTGAAGGTAGATACTCTGCAATTTGTTTGCTGAACTCTCTTCAAAATGAGAGTTATTGAAATGAGCTGCATTTTCTTTTTCAGTCGCACTGGATCGGAACAGAGTACTATAAGAGAGGGCCTGCCGGAAACAATATACACAGGACAAATGTACCTCATATCCGGCTAGAATTCCGTGACAGGGTAGGGGCTCGACTGCAAAATATAGTGCATGAATGTATTTTCTTGCCTAAAGCGACTTTAATAACCTGAATACAACATTAATTCCCTTACCCTATTTTCTGCAGATCTGGAGAGAGGAGATGCAGCTGGTGTACCTAGGCAAGGCCATTATCCCCGAAGAAATGGACAAGTAAAGTGCAACATACTGCACAAAGTCCATTCTTAAAACATTTCAAGCCACATATGTTTGGGAGGCATCCATCTGATTCTCTTTCGATTTATCTGAGGGTGGTGAAACCGACCTCAAGTGTTTGTGCCTCTCGAGTTCGACCCAGGAACATAACCTTTATAGTCAGACAAAGCAAAGCAATTCTTTTTTATGCCACGGAATGAAATTTGTGTGAGGGAAACATACGCAGAGTAGGCAATTCCCATTTCCAAATACAGGAGGAAGCAATTGACAAAACAATTGCGTGTCTCAGATAGTAACTATAAATGATTTTCTTCAAGTGCCTGCTAAATATAATGCTATAGTAAACTATATATGTATGCTATTATTAGTTATACCAGTTTGGCAAGCAAGAGTGGTAGTCTGCCCTCTCTTGCATTATAAATTTTGATTATAATTTCAATGTTACTGGATTAAAATAATTTTTGCAATCGATGTGGTCATTTTATTTACATTTCACAATTTATGTCCAAATTATTGTATTAACAAAAATATGTTTATTCAGTGGCAAAGTTACTTTTGTAGTATAAAATTACCTTAAGCTAAAATAATCTGAATTAGACATTCAAATAAGTTTCGGGGGTTTGTGATTGAGGGTTATGAGTTTTAGTGTTTATGATTTAAGGGTGTGAATTTTAGGGTTTATGATTTAAGAACATCTAGCCCCGCAAATCTTTATACATGCGGAACATACGACTTGTGCGAATCTCCAGGCACACAAATGCAAGATCCATTTGAACTCTCAAAACTCTGCGAACTGTCAACGACTATCACTTGTCAATCACCTACTACCCAATGAGCATTTCCCGATACGATCTCGTGTCAATCACCTACTACCCAATGAGCATTTCCTGATACGATCTCTGACGATCACGTGTTGATACATGTGATCTCTTTTGATAATAAACTAGTCTAAACCATTAATCCCTAGGACATTCCACCAACACCAATGCCACAACTCTATCGACACATGTTCAGGGCACTATAAAAAAACCATGCAACGAAGAGTGAAGGCACATGCAGACTTCCACCCAGAAAGACCAGTCCCGCATAATCAGAAAAACCCTTTGACCACCATCTACGGTGGTTGCTTATTTCGGTCTTTCCACACCATCAGAAAAACCCTTTGACCACCATCTACAGTTGTTGCCTATTTCACAAGTCAACATGTTTATAATTTAAGATTTGAAATTTAGAGGTTAAGATTTAAGGGTTTAGGGTCATTTAAATACCTCAGATATGACATTTAAATAAGCATATGATCATGGTCTCTAAGTTATATAGTCTAAATTTCAGACAAACTGTGTATCAAATAATTTCACCTATTAAATTCAGGGGAAAACAAGTATTATTATATGCAAAACTGTAACATATAAAGAAAACTTATTTTATAGATAACAATGAATATCCTTCAGAAATGTGGAAACTTAAAGATGCTCAGCTGATTCAAGCTTTCTCCAAAACTGGAACTCAGATGCACATTAATATCATTTTTCTGACAAAATCAAATCTCATCCATTCATGCAATTTAGCATTTTATTTTCAAGTACAATTGCAATCTATTGCTCAAGCTTCCCAGCACCAGTACTAATTAGACTTCTAACACAAAATTCTTTCAACATGAATATAACTCGTGTTCTTTTCATGAGAAACTACGAAAAGAATGTTAGTCTCCATGCCAGAGTATAATCCAAATCCAACAAACAAGAATTTCACCTCAAAAAGTACATCTCTACTTTTTGTGCTGCTTTATCTCGTTGATTACACCATCGGTCAGTGAATCGATATCATTATTCTTCCCGAAAAACTTTACAAATTCCATCTTAGGATCCATCAAGTACCTGCATAAGAAAGAATGGAAAAAAAGTTGATGGGATTTTATATAGAGTTCAGCATTTAGACCAAAAATCAAATTATATTACAAGCATGCATGTCAGAAGCAAGAATCAAGCTAACAAATACAAATCATAGGTGCATAAATAAAACGCCAATGGCACTCAATAAAATGCTTCTTCATTCAATAATTTCACCAATAAACTAATGCTGTGAGCTTATAGGTTTACGAACTTCAAAGCAATGACACAAAAACCCATATTTAGAAACATCTCTCCCTTCAAGAGCCAAAGCATTTTCCTATGCCAAGACAATAAGTCTTCAGTCGGAAAATTTGATAACCTTCTCTCATCACATTGCCTATTCAAACAATTTTTTCCTGCAAAATGTCATCTTCATTTTTTATTTTATTTTGGGGACTGCTATTTTGTGTTCATCAATGTTGACATAAAACAATGCCTATTAGTCTACAGATTTCAACTGGCGGTGAGTATCATTCTGATACAAACATCAGATGCAGGTCAAATCAAACAAAGCTAATACTTACATGACTATGGAATGATCGACAAGGTAGTCTGAATCTTCCTCTGTTGTCTTCATATAATAAACTCGATATGCACGAGCAACTTGCTTTATCTCATCAGAGCTACCTGTTAAACCCACTAATTTTGGATGAAATTCTGCAAACGTGTAAAAATAATTAGAGCTAAAATTTTCAATGAACCAAATTATAAGTAGCATATGAAACTGGTCCAAACATTATACTTTCAAAAAATACTTTGAAGTACCTTTCACGTATTCATGTACTTGCTCAACGGTATCTCTTTCAGGATCCACAGAGATAAATACAGGCACAACTTCTATCCCTTCCTTTTCCTCTTTGAAGTGAAAACAAAAGAAGAAACCAAATAGAAATTAAAGGTACTATATAAGCTACAGATCAGTAGAGTTATTTCTAGTCTGATAAATTCAAAATCACAATATTTTCTTTGATTATAAGAAAGTTTTTAAGTAGCAAAACAAAAAAATAATTCATAATTTTATTTTCTAGCCAAATGAAACCATCAGCAACTTACTTATTTTATCAATAGCAGCAGCTAGCTTCTGCAACTCATCTGGGCAGATATCTGGACAGTGAGTGAAGCCAAAATATACCAAACTCCACTTCCCCATAAAGTCCTTCTCAGTAACGTGTTTGCCTTCATCACTTATAAGACTGAACGGCCCCCCGATGGCTGCTTTTCCAGCAGATGGCCCTTCTTTAACAGCCTTTGAAGCATTACTTATTTCTGCAGCAGCAAAACTTCGAGTCTTCAACCAATATATGCGGGAAAGAAAAGGCAATATGATACTAGTGATCACTAATTCAAAACCAGAAACATTTCATTCATCACCAAGCTGAATCATCACAACTCTTTCCAGACACAATTTCATTTATTTTCAAATTTCAGCACACAACTTTTAATTTTTAAATAAAGCCTTAAGAACACATTCTGATGCCCAAAATTGAGTGTTACAATTTTTAAAAGGCTAGGCTGCATATCGCAGAACCATGAAACTATTGACATTTATGAAATCATGATGCCCATGCAAGTTACAACTTCTGAAGGCTCCGCTGCATATTGTAGAACCATGAAACTATGACATTTACGAAACAAATATACCCAAATTCGGAAGATGCAACTTTTAAATACTAGGCTGTTTATGTGATGGCCTCTTTCTCAGAAGTGCAAAACCTTTTAACATTAACACACAACTCACCATAGAAGTGTACCTTCAATATGTCGTTTCTTTAGACTGTCGTAGTAAAGGATAATACCGATTCCAGTGGCAAGCAGCAGCAGTAAACTCAACCAAGAAACAGGCTGCAAATTCCAATCCAATTAAACAAAATCCCAAACTTTTAATGTCGAAAACGGAAAAAAAATCAAAAGAGACCCATTAAGAGCCCAAAAAAAGTACCCCGCCGCGAACAGGTTTCCCTGCAGCACCACTGCTCTGTTGCGAATCTCCGGTGTTTTGGGTTCCTTCAGGATTGGTTTTTGATGATGAAGATGATTTCTCTTGATTTTCATTAGGAGCTGTGGTGGAATTAGATAAATATCTTCCATAAATTCCCAATGATTTGAATTCAGCTCCAACAGGAATAACCTGCGAACCACCAAAAAGGAAACGCATCATAGATTAAAAGGATGTAGTGGTTATTTTTGTAAGAAATGAGAAGGAAAACGAACCGGTCGCAAGGAAAGGAGAGATGGACCGTGAAAAGAATTGGCGATTGTGGTTGAAGATGGAATAGGGGATCTGAATTGGCTTAGACTGCGGGCATGAAGACAACGATGAACGTTTCGTAAACGACTTGCGTTTCTCCAGAGAGCGGTAGCCATGGCTGAATGAAAAGGATTCTATTTCCTTTGCTCTTTCACTCTTCAAACTTTTCGATAAACCCTACAGTTGAATCGAACAGGGGTTTTGCAATGGTTAAGAGTCGGGTATGGAGTGCCCACTCGACATATGAATTGATTCCTAAATTTTCATATGTTTTAATATTATCCTTAAATTATCAATTTCCAATTTAATTTTATCATTAAATTGTTTTGGGGTGAAACACACAAATTGTCGCTGATTATATGATCCTATTTTGTTGAGTGTCTTATATATTAAAAGTTATTTCTTTAAAAAGTTAACGATAATTTGAGTTGAATATTAACATGCTGACTGAGATATAATAAAATCTGATTTCATAATCTCAAACGATTATCTTATCTCAGTTAACATATTTACGTCCAACTTAGATGACCGTTAAGTTTTTTAATGGAAAGTGATGAGTTTAGAACATAATGAATAGTCGGTGATCATTTTGTAACTTTTAATAGTCGAGGGACTCAATAAAACAACTCCTTATAGTTGAGAATCATTTTGTAACTTTTAATAGTCAGGGATTTAACAAAGCAGTATCTTATAGTCGGGGACCATTTGTGTATTTTACCCATTATTTTTTACCAAATTACTTTATGAGTTTAATTTTATCATTAATTATTAATATAATCACGCTTTATATAAATATAATTTTTTAAATAGTCTATGGTGATTATAATGTTTTATATAAATAGTTTTTTAAATAATATAAGTTGATTATAAGATAGTATTTATTTATATTTTTCTTGACCAATCGATAATGCATACACATCCTGCATCTATGCTACTTGATGGGTTCATATAAATATAAACTTTATAGACTTATTAACTGTCATATAATCACTTATGTGGGTTATATAATTAAATATATAACATAAATGATAATTGATATTATATTACGTTTTTAAAATTATTATTTAAAATAAAATTATTTGATTTTATATTTTTTTTGTTCTCTTAATTTGTTTTATAACTTTTTCTTTATTTTAAAGTCAAATTATTATTTTATTTAAATTTAGTGTTAATTATTATTATTTATATCATATTATATTATTATATAATATACATTAATATTTACGTAAACAACATGACAGATAACATTTTTTTATTATAAAGCAAAATTAATATATAACAATTTAAAATGAAAATTATAATTTTAAGGATGATATTATAATATTAGAAAGTTTTAAAAATGTTAAAAACTGTTACAAATACTTATATATTTTAAAAATTACATTGACAATTTCGTATTATTTCGTTATCTTATTTATGGGTAGTTTTGTCCAATAACAAGTGTAGTATGTAATATGTAATCTCAAAATTTAAAGATCTCATACATAAAAGGCATTTAAGCCCGTCCATATATAACCTTTGTACCTTAATGATTTTTCGTTTAAATGAAAAACAAACCTCGTAAATTCTTCATAATTTCAAATTTGACAAATTAATATTTATTATAAAATATTTTAAAGATTTCACTTTAAATAAATAGTACAAGACTTGCACATCATTTGAGACATAACCTGTTTATGAGCATCAAATTTTGGTTTTTTTTTTGGTTATTCATTCTCTATCCTATTGTCCACTGTTAGTTTATAGAGAACCTTCAATCAAATAAATTTTAAATAAACATGTTAAAATTGACCGTAAAAAAATTAATAAATGATAATTTTAATTTAATAGGCGAAAAGAGTATTATTTTATACAGCAATACCTTGTCTATATATCTCATCAGATGTAGATAACTGAGAAGATGAGCATTGACGCTCACACCTCTTGCCTGCTTCATCGGACAAAAGAATTTAGACATTATGAAATACCATTGATATAGAATCACAACCTTTGGTATTATAAGGGGGCAAAAATCATTAACAAACATCTCCAGTCCTCTGCAAGAGACCTTTACACTCTTTTCTTAAACCACAAGTCTCGCATCTTTAACCCTTTTATTTCACCTACTATGCCCTGGAAAGAACGTCTGTCAAAGTTTATGCCAACAAAGTAATAATCGAAATCAAATGTCATGATCTAAAGTCTCAACTCGATATAGATAATGCTAGTACCAGCATGTCAATATAACTGAATATATATTATATGCATTCTTGCATATTCAAAACGACGAATTTTCCTACATGCAGAATTTTGAGGCAGAGATTATCAAAACTGCGAGAGGGCAGATGCCCAAACAATGTGCGATGCCGTACAAACCACGTCATCAGTTTTTAGACTGCAAGGAAAACAGTATGCCATTTAGAAACAATGAAATATCCACAAAAGCTAACATACATAATATCAACTTAAACAAATGCAACTGACCTCCATGTTTTTCGAGATTTCCTTCATTTGTTCAGCAAGTTCTTCCCTCTTCTTTGCAGCTGCAAGAACAAAAGAAGACGATTAACATCAGAAGTTCTTTTGTTGCGTTTTTTGTTGGATAATAGAGGGATAAATTCATAAACAGTGTAGAAAAAGACCATAGTAAGTTAGTAACAGATGGAACCAAGCACATACCCATACTGGAGATATCCTCTATCTTCTTTGACGTCCTCACAGCAAATCTTTGGAATGCCGGACTGAAATAAATAAATAAAATAAAATGAGACACTAAAGTAACCCCTCCATAGAAATCATATAGCAACTATTAATGCAAATGAACAAACAACCCGCCATGAAACTAGAAGGAAAAAGAACTCGACTTAGATTGTGTAAATCGACAAAACTTTCTACAGGCTATTAAAGAATAAAGATCAAAGAGCGATGCTTTATTCTGTTGATAGGAGAATTTCTTAGGTTTTTTTACACTGCACACAGAGACAGACACGTTGTAGGTGAGCATGAGCACACGCTCCCCCAATTTGATGGTTTAATTGCATTTTAAGCCACCGATAGTTTTGAAACCATTGAAATTAAACCTTGGCCCCTCCCAAAGTTTTCTAGTTTAATACCAAATTCAGTTTCTGAATCCTTTTGCTTATGACAAACAAACTTAAACAAAATATGGACTCAAGCATTCGAACAAGCATACTAAACAAAAAGCCAGAAATATTCATTTAAAACAAAAATGGAAGGGGGCTGGTTTTGAGGTAAAAATATTCTCAAACCTCCTCAATCTATGTGCATGACATGTTGCACTACAGATGAAGATACAAATATTAGGATTTGAGAATAGAGTCGCTCTTGTTTCTTGGGAGCGAACTGATGGGAAACAAAGCAGTCCCAGTAGCTCGAGAAAGAAGCCTCCACAAGTTGTTAGCCAAAGATTATCCATTAAAACAACAAGCTACTCTCAAATCTTCAATACTCGTTTAGAATTATACGAAAATTTTCTTATTCCTGAAAAATTCAATCGAAAATAATGAAAAATGCGAACAAAAAGAAATCCGGAGAAAAAAAATATACATGTTTGCAAGTCTATCAACGACAAGTTCATTGACGACATAAGATATAACTCTGTGCATGAAATTACCTCCCGCCATGATTAGTTTTCAGAATCTGATAACAAAAATATTCAAAACAAATATCAGATCAAAACAATTAAAAAGGGAATTCAAATAAACCCTAAAATTTTCGTTAATCATATAAAGGTTAAAATATAAAGAAATCCCGGTAAAGCAAATGGTAATAAAAAAAGAGGAAATATAGAATTTTACCTGCCGAAGGAAAACGATGAAGAAGATGCAGCAGGCTCCTTAGTTTCTCGAAGTTACCTGATTTTTCTCTTCAGGTGGCTATGGGGTTTTATCTTAGGTTGCAAGCCGCTGGCTCAGAAACGCAGGCCCGCACGAGTGTCCCGTTTCCTTGTTGATGTCCCGAACCTTAGATGGACCGCGATGGCTGTAGTTTAACGGCCCAGAAAACTTGGTTGCCTAATCTAAAAGACCAAAAATTCTTTCGGCTTTTCTAATTTTATTTGGGTAAAGTATACAAATGATCTCCCGACTATAAGTTATTGTTTTGTTAGTCCTCTAACTATTAAAAGTTATGAAATGGTCCTTAACTATATGATATTACTTTGTTGAGTCTCTTGACTATTAAAAGTTACAAAATGGTCACCCGACTATTCATATGTTCCAAACTCATCCTTTTTCTATTAAATATTTGTGGCAGTCTGAGTTGAACTTTAACCTGCTGATTGAGATATAATAAAATTTGATTCTAAAATCTCAAAACGACTATTATATCTCCGTCAATAGGTTAACGTCCAACTCAGATTGTCGAGTTTAGAACATATGAATAGTTAAATGTCCATTTTATAACTTTTAATAGTCGATAAACTCAACAAAACAACACCCTATAGTCGAAAGATCATTTTGTAACTTTTAATAGTCGGGATTCAATAAAACAATGTCCTATAATTGAGGGACCATATGTGTACTTTACTTCTTTTAATTGTCTGGTTGGATTTATTGGAATCTAATTTCAACAATGTTTTTTTATATAAAAATTATTTAAAAGTTACAAGAGAAATTATTAAATCAAAATATATTTTTATCTACTCTTAATTGGTCTAATGATATGAGAAATTAAATTTCTTAAGTAATATTTATTATTTTAATTTTAATGTTAGGAATAAAATAAATTGAAATGGAAAAATCATCTTTGTAATACGGTATAATATTCGGTCAAGATTAATTAATTAATAAATTAAATAGTAATAATTAAAAAATAATAAACATCTTTTTATAAATATAATAAAACAACTTTTTAAAAAAACATATTATTAGTTCTGCTTGCGAAATTAAAACTTTTACAATATCCCACACATAGTTTACTTTAAGTATAATTACTTAATGAGAAAATAACCTCAGTGACCAAAAATTCCATATAATATACGATTTTAACTAACTTTTTTCCGGATTTGCCAAAATGACCAACAAAATCGTAACGCGATCGCTAATTCGCTACGCGATCTCCATTATCGCAAATCAGTTTCCAGATTCACAACGCGATTATGACTATCGCAATGCGATTTTCCAATTTCGCGTTGCGATTTTCCCAATTCGCAATGCGAATAAGTAAATCGCAACGCGAATTGGGAAAATCGCAATGCGATACTGACTATCGCAACGCGATAATACAAAATCGCAACGCGATACTGACTTTCGCAACGCGATACTGACTTTCGCAATGAGATAATACATAATCACAATGCGATTTTCAAAGCGCCATTAGTATCGCAACGCGTATTTTATTTTCAAATTCCAAACACGAATATTAATATATTGTAACACTGAACCGTCCACAGTATATCCCGTAATCGCAACTCATAACCTAAAACCTAAAATCACAACTCAGTCCCATCTCCATCTCTCACTCTCTCACCCATCTCCGATGAAATCCGTCTATCTCCATCTCTCAGAGCCACCCTCACAATCAGAAATGGAAAATCAACCAAATCAACCACCGAGGGTTAGTTTTTTTAATTATTTTCTTTTTGAAATTTTTACATTATTATTAGGTTTTTCATATTGAAATTGATGATAAGTTTACTGGTAATTTCAATAATAGATTAATCATTTCACTTAGATTGCTTATTAAATCAATCGAGAATCGCAACGCGAAATGAAAATCGCAACGACAAAATCGCAACGCGATTTTATTCTCTCGTTGCGATAGTCAAATTCGCGTTGCGATAGTCATTTTCGTGTTGCGATTTTCATTTTCAGAAACTATTCTTCTTCTGCAAATTGAAACTTGAATGAATTGCATTACTTCAACAACAAAAACAAAGACAAATACGAAATTCACAGTGTTGCAAATATAGGTTTGAAGAATAAACTACTACTCTTTATGTTTATTATTGTTTTTGGTATATCTTCACAGTGTAGTTTTTGGTTTATCTAACTTAGTATGTTTATTGTTTTTGTAGAACTTTTATTCGGCTCAATTGACCTTAAGAAATAAAGTCAGCCTGGCCAAAACAATTGCGTCGAAGCTTTCACCTGCACAAAGAAAAATGTTTGAGGATACTTGCTTCGGGCCATGGCTGAAAGTACAACATCCCGGTGGAGATGCGATGTTGACACACATGTTTCTTCAAACCATGACTAGCGATCTACCAGATACTATACAACGTCGTGATGAAGAGATATGGTTTGATTTTCCACCGGCGTATACGTGTTTTGGGCGGGAGGAGTTTTGCTTAATCACCGGTCTACGCTTCGGACACGATGATGTAGGTCGGTACACTAGACACATTACCGCCCATCATGGTTATCCCGGGTTTTTCCTGAGCTGGAGAGGCCGAATCTACACGTGGAAGACCTAGCGAGATTATTGAATAAGAAAGATGGTTTTACTCGGATTGATGACGTCGATGTTGTCCGAGAATGCCTTTTAATACTTTTGCATGCCGGTTTTTTAAGCAGAGAGGCCAGACAACCTATTCCGAATGATAATCAAATTGGTAGAAGACCTAAATGCGTGGAACCTGTTTCCGTGGGGCTCGTATTTATGGAAAGCTACATGGAATAAGTTATTGTCTGCCTGGATGATCGAAAAGTTTGCATGGCGATGGTTCCAAATACACTTTGACAGGCTTTATTTGGGCCTTTAAGGAAAAATTTTTATATAATGTTTCCAAAATTATAAGTAATTATTAACAATTACTAATGTTTGTTATTATATTGTTGTAGATTGGATATTTGAGGCCTTTCCCGTCATGAAGACATATGCAATAAAAACTTCAAATGATATTCCTAGGGCTATTTCCTGGAAGAGGAAACGAACCTTGCAATGGGAAGATTTACTACGGTATACGACAATAAATAATGTAAGTTAATATAAATACTACCATATGTTTATAAACAAGTTATTACTAGTACACATTTAACTTTGTTTGAGCTTTTATATTGTTAGGAGGCCAACACTCCATTACAGAGGCTGACACCCACGGAAGCTGAGCTTGCCACTGATTGGTGGCAAGCTAGTAAGCGTTTTTTTTTATGGCACGGATGATGAGCAGCCTCCACTTCGGGAGCCATCACCTCACCCAGAGCTATCACCTCACCCAGAGCCATCACCTGATCGACCCGACTATACACCTCCACAACGACAGCCATCACATATTCTGTCACATCATCGAGCCTCTTCTCCACCATCACCGCAAGATAGGCGACCGACAAAGATGCCACGATATTTATCTTCCTATTCTCCACCTCCACCTCCACGGGATGAGTTAGGGGAGTTACGTGATGAGGTCAATGCCTTGCGTGAGGAGGTCGGTACTTTACGCAAAGACGATGGTGCATGGCGTGTTGAGGTGTCTACTTTACGCGTGAGGTAGCCGCTCTACGTGAGATGGTAGCATCGTTGCAGAATGAGGTTCATACTCTACGCAACGAGGTAAGTTTAAGATTTTTCATATTTAACTTGATGATAAATTTACTCGTAATTTCACTTAGATTAACCATTTCACTTAGATTGCTTAATAAATTCATTCGGTTGCTGCCAATACTGCTAAACTATTTTGTAGTATTTGTTTTTGGTTTTGTTGTTGTCTTTTGGTTGAAGTAATGCAATCCATTCAAGTTTCAATTTGCAGAAGAAGAATAGTTTACTTTCGCAACACGAAAATAACTATCGCAACGCGTCAAATGGCTATCGTAATGCGAAATGAAAATCGCAACGACAAAATCACAATGCGAAATGAAAATCACAACGCGAAATGAAAATCGCAATGCGATTTGTGTTTCGCGTTGCGATTTTGTCGTTGCGATTTTCATTTCGCATTGCGATTTTGTCGTTGCGATTTTCATTTCGCATTGCAATTTTCATTTCGCGTTGCGATAGCCATTTTCGCGTTGCGAAAGTAAAGTTTCGTGTTGCGAAAGTAAACTATTCTTCTTCTAGAATGTTTATATATGTTGTCCCTTTAAATGTTTATATAAGTGCTTACTTCTGGAATGTTATCTGATGCATTTTGTGAACTATGATAGAATAATGACTTGGGTGAATACAATGCAAGTTTGAAACATATTTGTCTTTGTTTAATATCATGTTTGTTTATTTACTGATTTATGTATTAATTTTTTTTAGCGGCCCGATAAGGTGGATGCTTTACGTCGGGTTTTCCTTACACGACGGAGTTCACGCATCAGACGGCGTGCACGTGCTATTACGTCTTCGTTCACCCCAATGGTAAGAAGCCCGACTCACCTGTCATCCCTCAAGAGTCCCCTCCAATCGTTCAAGAGGCCCCTATCATCCCTCAAGAGTCCCCCCCACCGTTCAAGAGGCCACTGTCATCGTTGAAGAGGTCCCTCCCACCATTCCAGAGCCCGATTCACATGGGGTAATATATCGAATTATTAAGAAACCCCCATTGTTGCCGGACATGATGGATGAGAGTTGGCTCTCGTATGAGTTACCGGCTAGTACCCTTCCGGTATCTGAAGTGGAGAGGAGACAACTACCGAAAACAATTCTGGATAATACCCTTTGGGCTAAGACCGCAGTTGATTTTTATCTACATGAGCGGAGCCAAGGGTGTTACACTGACATAAGCAAACTCAACGATGAGATGTATTTGTTGTTTAATCGGTCTTGGTGGGGTGTGTTATTAGGGGTTGAAGACAGTGGCTATTTCGATGGGGAGGTAAGTCTTATATTTGTCTTATATATGATCTTGATTAATTTTTTTAAAAATTAATGTAATTCACTAATATATGTCTTTTTTTGTAAAACAACATATCGATGCGTGGGTGTCACGTCTTCTAATAATAAGGAAGCTTAGGAAAAATAAAAAAAATTCGCGATATACAATAATGCTGACGGCTTTTCACGCA